AAGGCTTCTGTGAGCCATGGGCTCACAAGAAAACAAGAGCCCAATGGCTTAGATTGAATATGGGCCGATCTAACGATCAAATATGCGTGATAGTATTTGAATTTTAAGTTTTTTTTTTTATAAATCTAAATCATTTAAAATTTTAGACATATGTTGATAAAAATAGGTGAATATTCGAAAAATATTAAAAAAATATTTTACATGAAAACAAATGACCAAAATACCCCTGTAAATTTTTAGGGGTATTTTGGTCATTTTTAATTTTGCAGATTAGTTTTTTTACATTTTTATTAGGTGCGGCTTGATGAGAAGAACATTCATCTAAAATTTCAAGTGATTTGATTTGTAGAAAAAAAAAATTAAAATTCAAACACTCTCGACTGTCATATCGGCCTAAATTCAATCTAGACCATTGAACTTATACTATTCAGTGAAGCAGTGGGCTCACCCTAGCATCTTCCTATATATATAAGCATCATGTGAAATCTAAGCAGTATTGAAGACTGAAGACAAAGCAAAGGCAGCAAAAAGAAGAGTTTGTTCTTATGCCCTTTCTGGTTCTAAATAGAAAAGGAAGTGATGACGAAGAAAGGGGAGAAGTCTTTTTATAGGCATCGATGGATGAGTTCCAGCTCATAAACACTATATTAACACTCCATGCATATCAAACAACTGTGTTCTACATACAATTGTCAAAAATACTCAAAATGCTATCACAATTTATGGAAAAGTTAAAGTCCTGAGGACGAAATTTAGCCTCATGTATAACAAATGTGTCACAATTACTATAAATAAAACATAAATATAATCAATAAGAATATTTAGCTTTTTTGAATAAATTCATCCAAAGATTTTTCCTTTTTCAAGATGCAACATATCAAAGAGCAATTTGATGAATTTCCATTTGTTGTCAAGGGTTCCCTCTCATATATTCTATATTACGATTGCATGTATATCAGACTATGTTTTACATATAATTGTCAAAAATACTATGGACATTTTCACTATTTTTGGAAAACTTAATAATCACTCCCAACAATTTGATGAATTGTAGCTCTATACAAATTAAATGCGACCGAGGTAATTTATGTCAAATTTACCTACAGTGAAATGACCCTGCCACAAATAGTGGCCTGAGACCCCATAGAATCGCCGTCAGTCACAATTTAAATCTCGAGTTAAACACCAGTCCCCGTACCATCTATCTCTCTCCCTCATGCCCTCTCTCTCTCCCCCCATCAAAATGTCCTCTCTGTCCCTCTCTGTAAAGAAATTGCCCCAAAAGCCCCATTCAAGCAAGGGAAAAGTTTATATAGAGCCGAGGCTCTAAACAATAAAATTTGAGCTTACCTTGAAAAGTTTACTAGAATAGGTTGTTTTGATGCCCAAATATCTTCAAATTGATCATCTCGAGATCAAGATGCATGGACATGAGAAAAAAATGGATTTCAAGTTTTGGATATGGTGTATTTTGTAACATATTTTTAGACCGTCAATTTCCAATATTTTCAAGTTTTCATAGATATGTCGATCTACACTATTTTTGAAACTATGAACTTTATAAATAAATATGAAAATATATTTTAAGGCTATCACAAAGATTTTCAGTAATAAAACCACATTTCTCGACAATTTAAAGGTAGGCTCTTATTTGATTGTTTAGAGCCTAGGCTCTATACAAACCGCACCCTTCAAGCAAACATTGAGTAAATCTAGGCCGTATTAGTCCTTTTTTAGTGTATTCATTATGACTTCTCAAAATTTGCTCCTTGGACATCCTTTCATGTTAAAACGAGCAAACATTGAGAAAATGTAGACCGTATTAGCCACTTACCCACATAGGATTCACATTTGCATGTCCAATCTCATAGTAGTAAGCCTTCAGTTCTAGCCAAGATGGAATGTTTGCTTCTTTCTCTTTCTACTGATAATGCTTATTATTTACAGGGAGAATCCTCGAAAGATAAATCCTGCTGTTCCTCCCCACCATTAACTCCTTTATTGTCATTCGACAACAAGAGAGAGAGAGAGAGGTGTGCAGGGGAGCTGCTAATTAGGGGTTTCAACTGAGCCTTCTAATTAGGGGTTTCAACTGAGCCTTTAAGACCATTTTTTTAGAGAGAGAAAGAAATGTCATTTTATCCTACCATTTTATCCTACCATAAATCAAGAACTCATGATCTGAACTGTCCATTTTATTATTCATGCCATGTATAGGGTATTTTAGAAAAGGGAAAATATCCTATTATTCTCTATTTTTAACTTCTAAATCTCATCAGACCCAAGAATTAAAAATATTATTTATAAGCAAAAAAGACTCCATCTTTTCTATCTTCCAACTCCCTAAACCCTTTTGATCATGTATTATTGACTTCAACAACTTATGAAATGACTCTTTCTCTCTAAAACTCCATTTCTCTCTAAAACCCAAACTCCGTCTCTCTCTCTCACATCATCGTCTCTCTCTCTTTCAAAACTCCATCTCCCTCTCTAAAACTCAAACTCCATCTCTTTCTCTATCTAAACCTCCATCACTCTTTAAAACCCAAACTCCTTCTCTCTCTCTCTAAAACTCCATCTCTCTTACACACATAAAAAGTTGTGCTCGTATTCGAGCTCAAGCTAAACCCTTTGGCTGCTAAACTCATCGAGAAATGAAGAGAGAGAGAGAGAGGGAGTTTTAGAGAGAAAGAGCTGAAGTTTGAATAGAGTGTCATTTTAACTTTGTTTGGATCAAAAATTTATGGTCAAAAGAATCCAGGAGGTTGTAAGATAAAAAAGATGGAGACCTTTTGCTTAAGAGTAATATTTTCAATTCTTGAATTTCATGAGATATAGAAATTAAAAATAAAAGATAATGAGATACTTTCCCTTTAGAAAACGCTCTTCATTGGACATGCATCAATATATAATCGACTAATTTCCAAATGAACGGTTTAAAACAAAGTTTCCCAAACAAGTCGTCGTCAAACAAAAGAAAGTGAATCGATAGGAATCCCTGACATATTACCAAACATAGGAAATTAAAAATCTGTGAAAGTCCTTTCCATGAAACTTAAATTCATGGGAAATAGATTTCCCATAAAAAATAATTTTTCTCTAAGCGAGCCCTACTGGAAATCATAGATTCCCAAAATGGTGTGGAGATAGTATATTGATACATGACGTGCACATAATTAGAGAAAACAGAAGAATTAGTGATGAATGCACCATGTAAACCAAACAACGAAATAGAAGTGGACTACCCTTTCTTAAGTTTCCCAATCTAAGCTCCAATTTTGACAGACCATTTAAACACGAAATATTATTATTATTATGCATGAAGTTTGCATAAGGTTATGGCTTAAGGCCCACCTTCAGGCTTTGTCATAAGATATAATTTTGGTGTACAAATTTTTACGATAGCCCAAGAATCTTTCATATTTAATTACAAAATTTTAAACTCCAAAAATTGTTCATATTTAGTTATAAAATTTTAAACCCCAAAAATTATTCAAAGAATCTTTCATATTTAATTACAAAATTTTAAACTCCAAAAATTGTTCATATCTAGTTATAAAATTTTAAACCCCAAAAATTATTCAAAACAAATCCAAAAATTATTCAAAACAAACCGTTCTTTATTATAGAACAAAAAAACCTTAAAAATAGATGGCCCAGATAATATGTTGCAAGATGTAATTTCCGGACTTGAAATCTTTTTTTTTTTGTTCATATCTGTATACCTCATTGTGATGAACAATTCAATGGTTTTCCAATGTTAATATAGATTTTTTGACTTTTGAGATGCACTTTAATACGACAAGGTGCGAAACTTGTATAAACTTTTTCCCATTATCCGTGCTCTCTCCATAAGAAAATAGATTTTAAGCACCGATTGGTCATGTCCAGCTATTCACTAGTAAAGGCCCGTTTCTTACCCCCCCATATTTGAAATATGCCGCAAAAGAAAAAGCTCCCCCACCTGCTAGAAAACACATATATTGGCCTTATTTCCAAATATACCTACTCAGGAACCAATCTACGAGTGTCCAAACTGTGCCTCCCAGATTTCATGAAACGGCTTATATTTAGACCCATTCCTAAAATATAATCAATAGATGCTGACGAAATTTCAATAATCACTGGAATCACATGTAAAGCTTAGGGATGGCATATAATTTATTAATTTATTTAAGCTATAACTCTTATACTTTCCTTAAATTTAAGATGGGTCAAAAAATGATGCAAATTTCAATTACTTTTGGAATTTAAACAAATATGCATACTTCATTAGAATATATCAAGGGGAATTAAGAATCCAGGCACTTCTCATAATCCTCCTTGGGTAAGGGATAAGAAACAGTCCTGGAATAGTATCAGAAAACAGGTAGTACAACCCATTTTAATAACTCCCATTCTTGTGTAAGATGGTCAAAACAATATGCCTTGACATCTTCTACTGAAATGGGAAAACGATACAATAATAAAATCTCTATCTAATCTGAGTCAGAAGAGTCTGCATTTGCAGTCTGACGAACACTTCTTTTGGTTGTTGCACTGGAACCGGCATGACTTACCAATGATTCACCCTCAAAAATAATAACTTGAGATTTAGCAAGCCTCTCCTCAAGCTCTTCTGTACTGAACTCATCAGTCCCACCAAGCTCATCAAATCCAACCTGATATCCAATAACAAAAGTCATCTATATTGGTGATTTATGACAAAAATAGATTCATGTGAACAACTGATGTATTTTCTTTCACATACCACATAATCTTCGACTTTGGCATGCTTTATAAGGGCCAGGGTTGGAAGCACCACTATTTTAAGCTTTTCTGCTAAGAATGGACTTTTCTCCGCATTGATTTTCACAAAACGCGTCTCTATATGTCGCTTTGCCAATAAACCTAGATGCTTGTCCATCACCTACAGAAAAATATAATGTTAGGTCATTTGTTCATGCATGAGAGACTCTTATTATTTATGGCTGCTAACCCGTTTCTTCTTTCTTTTTTTTTAACGAACAAACTTGTTTCTTTCTCCAACCTCATTTGCTAACCAGCTTCAGGCATGCAAAAAGTTATACATTCCCACAATTTATAGTTCCTTGGGAAATGTCCATATACTTGTTGGTTAAGTGTGCATCATTGTTCTGTTAAGGGTAATTTATACTATAGAAAATAACAAACATCTTAGTGATACGAATGTCAGAATTCAACTACAGTCCATCAGATATTCACCAGAAACATCATTGCAGTGCTACTGTGCTGAGGGAAACCATTCTAGCATCCAGATAAATGACTGGAGAATGAAATGGATATTTTTATCGGTGCACAGGAATGCGAGGAGTGAATCTTGATAAAATCTATGCAACATCTCAAGCTCACGGAAGTAAAGAAACAAAAGCAAATAAAGGTGTTTGATAAACAACATAAAATGCTTTCATGCACATCACGCATTTTTGCACACGCATGCATGCACAGGTGTGCCCACACACTGATGTACATGTTTTATTGTAAAAACATAGTAGTATAAAAGTGGAAACCCAACACAAATGAATACTAGTATGGGTACAGGAGTCAACTGCAATAAGTACGACATGTTATTTCCAGTAAGTAAAATATGCACCACATTCTGATCTAGCAGAAAAGCTACTCATCCTGGATGTCAATGACATCTCAACCACTTACACTTCACAATAAAAATATTAACTTATGGTTTGAAAAAGATACATTGTTTATGAGCCCACAAATTTAGAAATAGCCCGCTAGAAAATATTGAGTACTTTTGTCGGTGTACGAGTCATGCAGACACAGCTCTGATTCCTCCTGACAACAAAGGCAGGAACTCGGAAGGACAAGTCAGTTGGAGAACATACACACACACAAAAATGTCCAGTGGCTGGCAGAGTGAGAGGGAAGGAGGCATGATGCCAATAAAATTATATTTCAGGAATTATAAGTAATTAGTTAAACCATAAATAACCAATTTCGTCTCTTCATAAAACTAATGGTCACCAAGCTAGTAGCGGACATAGTTAGAATATTACCACTTCTAATCATTTTTACCTACTGTGCACATGAATACAAAAAACTCAAAACTTTTTGTTGGTCCATCATAATAAAATTTCTCTTTTAAGAACTGATATTTCGCTCTTTTTTATGAGTAAAGTGATACTTTGCAATTTGAGATATAGTAATTCAAGACCTATATAATCTGAATTCTGGGCACCTTTGAAGGATTTGGTTCGCACTCAATTAAATATGGGAGGTTGATATGAGTATGGAGCAATCATCCATGGCCTGGCACAGGATCAAGAGAGTCGGCTGAGAGTTCCATAGAGGCCTATCAATTTGTAATGGCTGCAATCAAATTTGGACATGACATGTAATGAAGTAATTGCTTCCTAAGAACCACCTTTCCCATCATCATGAGCTATGGTGCACGGATACGGGTACGCGTGTCGGTGTAGGACACAGGTACAGGGTTTTGGATTCTTTGAGCGGTAAAAAGTAGGATCGACACAGCTAAAATATAACATATATATATATATATATATATATGATGGACACATAGACTAGCAAAAAATTCACAATATTCAATTCATGATATCACAAATCCATCATTGGTTTGGAAAAAGAAAAACTCTAAACTCCTTTGTAACCATTATTTGCCAGGGACCACATGTTTGCAACTCTTTTTAATGGATATTCTTGTCTTATTTTGGAGAGTTGGGTTTTTTCTAGAGAGAGAGAGAAAGAGGAGGTTCATGTTCCACACATACCATGGAAATTCTCAACAGCAAAAAGGTTTCAAAACTTTTGTTGTTCAAATATTCCAGCAAGAATCCAACGTATCAGCAGAAGGATCTAGCAAAGTTTGGGGAACATTCCAGTGAAAAAATTGGGAGGTATTAGGGTTGGATGCTTTGTGTAAAGGATACATACCTCCTTAGGGTTTAAAAAAGGAGCTTAACATTAAAATAATATAAAGTCATTTCTAATATATTCTAATGTGGGATTCTTCAAAGAGAAGAATCTGATACGCTATGATAAGAATCCATGTGTTGGATACAGCATGTCTACATTAACAAGGAATGTAGTTTTCAAGATTCTTGAACTGGAAGCAAGCAAATCCAGAAAAATCCACAGCCGTATCCATGTCCATAAGTCTCCGACATAGGTACGGGACCCTTGACGAAGAATCCATGTAACATAGAAATGAATTTGATCATGGGAGAGCAGTGGGAGAGATCTTTCTATAGAATTGTGGTGGCCATACCTAAGGCCTCATCACGTCATCAAGTGTGGTCTATACCGACCCTGGAGAGTCTCAATGAAATATTGACAATGGGTCACTTACAATGGCGGAGGCTCTTACTTCCAAACCGGTCTATCATGTTTTGGAAGGAAGTTGAATCAGTTGACTACCTCTTAGTTATTGCAGGCTAGCCAGGTCAAATTCAGTCCTTTATCCACCAGTTATTTCAATGCTGAAGAATGTTGCAGCTCTTTTGGTGTACTGGCCTAAAGTGCCTATTTAGAAAATATCTTATACAAAATAGTCTATGACCACATCACAAAGAGGCTCACAGAAGTCATCATAGTAGGAACCTAGTCAGACCAGCTCTCATTGGCATCTAGGTTGTGGATTTCTTACAAGCAGGAAGATGGTTTGTAAATTCTACTTTTATAATCTGCACCTAGGGGATTTTTGAAAGTCAGAGATTGATTGTTGCTCAAGGGGAAATCCAGGGCTAATAGCTGTCTGATGCAGCCTTCTTGACATAAAGGGGTAGTGACCAAAGTTTTCAAGACCACTAGGGCAATATGATTCTACAAAGGCCAAATATAGAGCACATTTTACAGGTCCAAACTTGCCCACGTAAAGTTACAAGTCAAAGAGGCGGTCCGCTTTTTGAAACAATGCTATTAAGTAGACCTCGAATGAGATAAGTCGTTCACGGCTGGCAACATCAATCTTCGGATAAGAGCATGACTTTGTTCTGTAATATGGCACTGGGAAGGCAGATGCCTTCGCCAAAGGAGTTTTTGAGAGACATTTTGTCAACATCACATTGACATTCAGGAAATGTCTAATATGCATTCTTGTTTGCCTTTTGATTGATGCTGATGGTTTCTGATGTCTAGAAAGTTGAAAATAAGGTGCAGCAAGGCCATTATATACAGTCAGAAACTTTGTAGTTCAAAATGCATAAGAAGGTAACTGGATTGAATAAAGAACTCAAAAACAAGATCATATATTTGCAATTCTTAGAAACAATATACGAGTATTTGAAAACTTGAACTTGGTCCTAAAATCAAACAAAGCCAAATTGAGTCAACTCACAAACACAAGAAAACTCAGTGAGTTTTTCAAATTTTAGAGTGAAAAATTTGTAAAATCAAAATCATCCACATTGGGATTCCATCCCAACCCATCATACAAGTAATCCAATATGCCATACCATCTGAAAGAACAACATTTCAGTCAATTTTTCATGGAGAAATATATAAAAAGGAAAAACTTGCTCACATCCTGAGCTTCCAGCATTGGCTACATCTTGAAACTTTTGTTTAGTTTTTTTCATATCCTAAGGCTTTCATTATAATGCTCGCTGACGGGACAAATTGAGTTGACGTATTGACGTAACCTAAGACCAACCACTCGCTACCCTTCAATTAGAATACTCTAATCACGTTTGGAGACTACTTTAAATTAAAGTAAGGCTAATCTGTTTACGCTCCGATCTGCGTCAATCACTGCGATGAGATCTGCTCAAATCTTAGCAAAAACTGAATTACTCTTGAAAAGGTAGAGAGAATGGGGTCGCTTGAATTATGGGCTCAGAAAAATCCCAGATCTCTACAGATCCGGTCTTTTTCCGAATCCACTGGCAGCGCCAGCTCCAAATCCATATTTTGATCTAAAAACGCTTCTAAATTTAATCAAATCTAATAATAATTTAATTTTCAGAATAAAATAAAATAAAACATGGAATTAAACGGAGAAAATAAATTGAGCAAAAAAATGATACTTACCTCTAGGGACCCAAAACCTGAAGTTTCAAGCTTGGATCAGGCTGCTCTTCCGATTTGCGCCACCATCTCCTTTTTTGGATGCCCTTGCATGCTCGAATTGGTAGATCTAAGGTTCTTTGACCTAGATCTAAGGTTCCTAAGGAAAAGCTGGGAGTTTTAGGTAGGGTCTACCTAGGCTTTTCTTGGGATTGACGGAGAATTGCCTTAGTTTTCTAAGGGTTTTAGGATCTCCAGAGGTTGAATATGAATTTTGGGATTTTTTCTGATTTTTTGGGATTTTTTCGGTGGGAATTTTCTATAGATTTTTCCTATTTCTGGGTATTTTTGGGCAATTTTTCTAATTTCGGGATTTCTTTCTTTTTTTGGTCTCTTTTTCATCCTCCTTTTGGGTTAGGGAGAGGGGGTATTTACAAGATTCCTTAGTTGATTTTTCTATAATTTTTGGAATTTTTTCGGAATTTTTTTTATTTATCTTGAAGTTTTAGCCTTATCTAATTCAAGAAAATGCCTTTACTGCATCATAAAATGCGTTGATTGCGTTATCAGGCCGTGTCTGCATCATCAAGCCGCATATGGGCCTTCGGACCGCGTTACAACCCGGCCCACTGCTCAACACTTGGGTCTCATAGGGACTAAATTGTCATTTGTTATATCTCTTTATCCATAAGTCTTATTCAGGCAATTCTTGGATCGTTAGAAAAATCTCGGGCTCTACTTCAAGTTGGGATAGAATTTTGGTAGTTTTGAAGCAGTTAAATTGGGTTTAGGTTGCCTATGGTCTACTAAGGTTTGTGTGGTCCTTTAGGTTCAGAATCAAGGTTTTTAGGAGTTCCCTTAACCAGAATTTGAGAGGGATGTCCACCGTTGCCCCTCTTTGGCATTCAC